CTTTTAATGTGTGCAAATTTGCACGCCTTGTAATAAATTTAATCATTGCCTGTTTACTTTTACATACCAAATTTTTCGCAAAAATCAAAATTACACATAAAATGTTTAAAATAAAGTAGTGTTTATTATTAGTAGGAAATGTATTTGTAGTTTGAAAATTTTTGCAATTTTAAACATACTATATATGTGTATTTATGTGTATATTTTAAAGATCTCAATTTCAAGATCAAGTACTGAACATCTTATACGTATATTTATACAGATTCTTGTTGATACTTTTCAGTAGTAGTTTTACATGCTCTTTTAGAGGGTACATGCTATTTATTATACTTGCTTTGCAAAATACTTATGCACAAAAAATGTACTTTATAAATTGAAATTACAAATGTTTGATTTTATGTACATATATTCCAAGTCCTTAGGATGGATTAAATTATGTCTTTTTCATGAAAATGTTTGGTTTTCTTACAAATTATGGGATGTAGTGTAAAAAAAGAAAATTGGATACATTTGGATACATTTTTGGCTTGGTCAGTGATACATTTTCTTGAGACGGCGCGGCAACACTGGTTATAAGCAATAACCTGCATTCATCTGAATTGTATTGTCGCGTGCTATTGCCTGTGTTATTGTGTGTTTGCTTCAAAAGCTGTGTGCAGAAAAAACGCTTGAAAAAGCAAGCTGCTTCCCTGCCTTTGTACCTCGTGAGTGATGTCTCCCCCTTCCACGGTATCTCTTAAGCACCGACCAAGTAAAGGCTCCCCTCACGCGGCTAACAAAACCGCGAAGTTAGATGAGAGCATCGTTCTATCTACGGTACTTTCAACACTAAGAGAATTAGAAGACAAAGTGCAGAGTCAAACTGAAAAGCTGCAATCGATATTTGATGGTATCTCATCCAGACTGGCGGACATCGAGAATAAGCTGACAAAGCGAATAGACGAAGAAATAGCGGTATTGACAACAAAAACGGCAGAGTCTGCCGCTAAAATTGCATCGCTGGAAATAAGTGTAAGTTCTCTTGAAAATAAACTGAGCTGGCTGGGCAAGCAACTAGAGAGTCAGGAAGAGAAGGGAAATCTTGGTTTTAGCGCGGACGCTGTTATTTTTTGTTTGCCGCATATTGAAGGCGAAAATCTCAAGAGCGTGTTCAACCAGATTTGCCAGTCGATCGATTTTTTAGCGCCTCAAATGAGAGACATTTTCCGGACTAAGTCGCGCTCAAACCAAAGCGAAAGTGGAGCGGGCATAGTGAAATTCCACTCACCAATAGATCGAAACCGCACCTTAAGCGCATTCAGAGATTACCGGAAGAGTACGAAGCAGCAAATTTCTCTTAGCGCCAACGGATTTGAGGGGCGATTTGCAATTTATGAAAGCCTCACAGTTAACAACAGAAAACTTCTGCAAGACGCGATCAAGCTGAGACGCGCTGGTAAGCTGACATCTGTTTTTACTCTGCGGGGCGCTGTTTATATAAGAAAGGGGAAAGAGCTTGCAGCGAAGAAAATTGAAAATCAGCCTGAACTTCAGAGTTTCTGCGATGCCTGTTCTGATCTCTAGCTTTAGTGTATTCATTTTCATGTTGTGTTATGAATTGTTTATCTGTAATATATTGATAGTCTCTTTAGTTTTCGTAAAGTTCAATTCTCTTTTTATTAATCTCTTTAACTTGCTTTTGTTTGGTTGCCTGTATGTTATGTGTTCTAATTTATGGCTGTTAAAAGTAATTT